GAAACCCCTAGTAAAAGACCCCTAGTAAAAGAACTAACCCAAACAGTTAGTTCTTATAAAAAGAACTCATTGTTTGGGTTAGTTCTTATAAAAGTTTTTTTTGAGTTCTTCCTGAGAGTAATGCTGTCCAAATTTTATACTGAGAAAAGTTTGGTGAAACCCCACTATGACAGATTCTGCAGTGGCCTGAGGTTGACTTTGTAATCCCAGTGTGCCCAATGGATCTGCTACATGTTTAATCGTCATAATTAAAGGCACGGTGTGACCAGTTGAATACGTGCTTCTCTGCACACATAAAGTTCTGAGAAAGGGAAAAATGTGTTGTAAATACTTCCTCCACCGTTGGTTTAAAAAAATTCTGTGGTTTCTTCACTTTTTTTTTCAAGAATGGAGTCAGAACTGCTAGCAAAAAGGTCATAAAAAGTTAAGAGCTTCTCCTTTTCTCTTGGGACAATTGCAGAGCTCATAAAATATTCTTTCAGACAGGGTGAAATTTATTATCACAGGATTGTTGTGATATTGGACAGAATATATTGTTATCTTTTAAGTGATGTAAATATTTTTGTGGATAGATCTAAGCATCAATAAAGTTATGGTTTATCGTTTACATTAAAATCCTACCTTTATTGTGTATTCATGATTATTCCCTCCACATTTTACTCCCCTAACAAGTATGTAAGTAAGATTAAAGATACTGATTAGTAACCCAAGTCATCTGTGGTTTGATGCTGAGAGCTGATCTGAACTGAGATCTCCCAGTCCTAAATTAACATTGTAAGCCAATTAGGTGTCCTCTAGATATATTAACTGTATCTCCCATCTTTCGGTCCTATAATTACTGGAGCTGATGGCAGTAGAAATTCAAATCATATGAAGTTGGTGTACTATCATGGCTAATATTTAATCATGAATCTTTTTGAGCAAAGAGCTGGCTTGTCTTCAAGATGAATCTATATTTGTGAAACCAATTAACAAAACAATTCTGTAAATATCTAGTCATATATCCTCAGATACATATATAGGATTGCCACTTAAGGTGTTAAAAAAGATGTAAATAGAGGGAGATAGGGGGATACTATTTGATTTGGAAGACTTCGATTTATTTATTTCCCATTGTATGGCTGTTTGTTTTGTACAAACAGCTCTGGGTGGGGTGCAGAATTTAAAATTAAAACAGAGGTGAAAATAAATATAAACGGGTGACAGAAAAATAAAAAGGCAGCTGAGAATACCTACATCCAGAGACATAAAAAGCTCTCTACAAACAGAAAACTGCCAAATCAAGAATAAAAGTTCAAAAGTGGTTTTTTTGCTTGCTCATTTTTTATTGCCTGATTTATTGGCCAATTTTATTCATGCATTTGTTTAAACCCAAGAGAACATTACCAATCAAATGCATGGGCATACCTTCTGTTTGAAGCAATGCAGTCTATTTTCTTACCTCAGCATGCAATCCCTTCATTCTGATAGATGGGAGACCAGATTTCAGACAGTTGCCTGCACATTGGGCTGTTATATTTCCCCCCATCTATTGTAAATGGGGCATCAATATGGTTTTTAATATGAGCAGCTAACCTTACTAATCACATAAAAGGAATTCACTGACAAATGACAAAAGTGTTGGTTTTGAAATTAAGCAGCATCGAATCTACTTAATGAAAAGTCTGATGCCCTCACATAATACTTAGTTCTCTGTGATATGGCCAAAATTCATAGCTTGGAAGAAAGATATCATTTCTGCACTTCAGAAAATTCTGCTGTTGGCCACCCTACTGTTCATAAATGTGATCTCTGAATAGCCATGGGGCTCATTCCCTTTTCTTTAATCTTTTCTTGTCTCAAGAGTCTTAACAAATTGCCCTATTAGCAATTGAAATCAATTGGTTATTAGATAATTACCATAAGTAAAAAGCAGCATGCACTCATGATGGGTATCACGCATATGCAGCTTTCAACTCCTGCTGGGCAAATATTACTTTAAAAAAAAAAGCAACAAAGAAGCCTTCTAAGTTCTTATCCTAATGTTTAAACAGTTTGGAAACAGCATTAGAGGGTCTAATATTTGGTTCACAGGCTGTTGATTTTCAAGATGATGTCATCTTTCAGCATTCAGGCTATGGTTACTTTGAGAAATAATATGCTTTGAAGGTATTTAAAATGTAAATAAGGTATTTCCTAATTGGACCCAAAAAGAAAATCCATTTATTTAATACTTATTTGTCTGAACATGTGAATAATATGGTATTGTAGTACATGTGAGGAAGTAAGCTTAAATGATATTCCATAATACTAAATATTATTGTCTCTTGCAGTTTCAACATTTGGTGAATAAGAAAATAGAATAAATTTTTAAATTGATCTGAACATTCCTCACATTACTCATTTGTGAACAAAAATTGAATATTTCGAACTTTTTAGTTTTGAGAAATAGATGCCTACGGAGATTCTCAGTCATCCAGTTCATAGTTCTCCCAAAAGTGTTTTTTCTAAAGGCAACTGGACTTTGTTTTTCCTTGAAGACTTTTCACTTCTAATCTAAGAAGCTTCAGTTCTGACTGAATGGTAGAGGATGGAAAGATTTATATTCCTTGCAATCATATAGTTGTTAGCTCTCTTGAAAAATAGGCAGGTAGGGGAGAGACACAACAAAGATTGATAAAATTATGCATGGCATAAAGACAATAGAAGGTGGAATTATTTATTTATTTTATTTATTTATATGCTGCCTTTATTATTTTTATAAGTCAATGAACACATACAATACTCAGCAACTCTGTAGGGTGAATTGGACTGAGAGAATGACTGGCCCAAAATCATCCAGCTGATTTTCTTGCTTAAGGCTGGATTAGAAATTATTTACAGAATTTTGCTATAGGTGATCATAATTTCAAACATAATAGCTTTAAAAGGCTAATTCAGACAATATATAGCTATTAATAGTCAAATGTCCATTTCCAGGAGCAAAAGCAACATGACTGCTACTAAGCAACAGTTTGGGAAATGGTTTTGTCCATTTGTCCTGCTCATGGCATTCCAATAGACACCTGCACAGCAACTTAAAGAAAAGGCACTTGGACTACATACAGTAGATGTTTCTTCTGAATTGGCACTCGTCTGCCTTATTTTTTTAAGTGTGAAGACTTATTTACAGCTTTAATCAGTAGCACTTCTTTTCATTAAAAAAAATCATGCTTCTGTTAACAAAAGATATGCATACATTCTGTGGAAAGACTTATGTGCCATGGCCATTAACCTTCCTTTTCCACCCTTTTCCCTTTTTACAGCAATAGCAAAGGCATTTAGGCTTATATACTGCCCCATCGTGTTTTGTGGCATGATGTGGGTGGTTTAAGTGCATTTGCCTATTGCTCCCAACAATCTGGGTTCTCATTTTACCAACCTTGGAAGGATGAAAGGATGATTCAATCTGGATCCCTCTCAGGATTGAATTCTAGGCTGTGGGCAGAGTTTGCCTGCAATACTGTATTCTAGTCACTGTGCTATTAGGGCTCATTTTTATCTTTTAGGAGACCTGCCGTTGAAGATTGGATGGATCAACTATGACAGAATAGAAAGAAGGGAGAAAAAAGGAGGAGGAGGAAAAGAGCTGAAAAAAGATGCACTGACAAAACTGTGAAAGTTAAAATGGGGCAGCCTGAGCTGGAGGAAATGCTGAATGGCCAAGAACTGGGTGGTTGTTAATATGATTTATTGGGTTAGGGATTTTCTATCTTCACTGTGAGTTGTATTATGTTGGGGGGCGGGGTGCACTGAGGGAGCTCAACCAATTTCATTGTACATATGTTGTGCACTGACAATAGAGGGCCAAAGTGTACAGTTTATTGATATCACTGTTCC